AAGGAAGAAAGGAGGGAAAAAGGAGGCACCAGGGTCTAAACTGGAGAAAATTATATTCCATTTATATATGATTATTTCAAAATGAACCCCAATGTTATATATAACTATTATGCACTAATAAAGCATATATACCATATGTTATATAAGTCCATCTCTTTCAGCTGTGACAGTATCTGAAAGTTCAGATTTCAGAAGGATACTGGAGACACTGGAAGGGGAAGAGGTACAGACAGGAGAACTGGAGTGCCCATACATAAGTTTAATTTCAATTTATAATTTAACATGAAAAACTTCATTTCATTATTCTCTCTCTTTAATAACATGATTTTAAAGCAAGGAAATAAAATTTTATGACTAGAGAATCAGAAGCCTACTTGTTTTCTTGCAAAAGCTATGTTTAAAGTTTTATGTCATGTTATTTGTCTTAACCACAAGTTAAAATTTAAGAACATAAATTATGGTAAAATTTGAGAGGAAAATTAATTTAGAGGTTTTAATTATTAGCAAAACCTGATGTCTCAAAGACACTGATTCAGGCTCCTACTAGTAGAGAAAAGTTACCTGAAAGTATTTTAGACTTTAAAAAAAATGATACTTATATACAGGTATTAAAGTTGAATGACAATAAAAACATAGGCAATGCAAAGATTTCTCATTTACTGTGCAAATATTTGAAGCAAACTTGTTTCACACTAAATACTCTCCTAAGAGGACAAATTTAGTTTAACAAATTATTTACTTAGTTGGGCACTGTTTTGTCATGAGTAAATTGAGGAGTGTAAAGCCTCTTCCAGCTTGAAAATCAACAAATTTGTTTATTTGGAAGATGTTGCACACTTGCTTTTGGTAAGCAATTATTTCCACTGAAACTAAAAGTACTTTTAAGAAACGTTTTCAAATTTTTTTTTAGCTAAAGTATATTCTATTATATTAAAAACCACTATTAATATTCACACTTACTATAGTGTGCAAAATAAAGGGGTAATTTTTATGTTTTCTAGTTCATTCATATGTGTGTGTAATATATATATATATGTGTGTGTGTGTGTGTGTGTGTGTATATATATACACACACACACACACATATATTTAATTTTATATCTGTATATATATACAGATATAAAATTACTAACACCTGGCATAACATTTAGGATTTTGCAGACTGAATTGTCCCAGAATTTTCATTTTGGGAAATTTAGCCTGTAGACATATACATCAAGGTTACTTAAGGCACTCATGGCCATTAATAGCCAAAAATTAGAAACAAATTTAATATTTAATGCTTAAACTGAAATGGATTGCTTTCCTAATAATGACATGATGAGGTACATCTATGAATGGAGGATGTGGTAACATGGAAAAACTTCATGAGACATCATTAAATGAGAAATACAAGGTGAAAAGTTAGATATACATTGCCATCTCATTCATGTAAATAAAAAATGATATAAATGTTTTTCCACATATATGATAATATATGTCTATATCCTGACATGTACATAAAATATTCTATTGAAAATCTATATGTTAGCACAGGTTGGCTTTGGGGAAGAAGAATGAGAATTGTTGGCCTCTTCACAGTTTATTATAGTATTTAAATAAAATTTTTATCACATTTACCATTTGATGCAGTACAACTCTTGCAATAATGTTAGAGAAAGAGAGAGATGCAAATTGAATTATAGACCAGTTAATAGGTGCAAAAAAGAGAAATTTTTATTTTACTTGAATTTTTTAGGTAAGATTTAGCACAAGTGAAAATGTGCTAATAGTATACCATTCAAAGTACAGATTTCACCAGGTATAAAAGGATAATGACAAAAGCATATGGACAAAAACTGTCAATATAATTAGTCACATTCATGAATAAAAGGAAAGAATGATGTGATTATATCAATAGATGCAGAAATAGTAATTGATAAAGATTAGACCCTACTTGTGTTAAGAATAAAATCTTTGCAAAAGTAGTAATGGAAGGGTACAGAATTCTTTGTGGTAGGAAAGAATTGAAAGTAATAAATTACACTGTTATAATGGGATACTCTGTGGAAGGCACAAGGAACCAAAATTTATATATAATGAAATAGATAAGAATGAAAAATGCTTATACCATATTTTTTAAATAAAATGAACATAGAGACATAAACAACAGCAGTGTACTTTTTCAAGGCCATATACCTACATTTATATATCAGGTGTCTTGAAGGAAGTCAGGTAAATACATTAGATAGTTCTGCGGGCAAAACCAGAGTAACACTGAGAACATGAGTTGAAGGACAAATGAAATGGAAAAAAAAAAAGAAACATGAGCTCTGACTCTATCAAAGATGAGATAATGAGATATTGAACTACTATGATCACAGATGTTGTCTACACTATTCCAAAAAAAATAAATAAGATAATAAAATAGTATATATTTTGTCACCAGCATAGTGTTTAACATAACCTATGAAAGCTTCTTGTTTTGGATGTGAACAAAGTAGACAAAGTAGAGAAATATCACAGGGGCCAGGCATGGAAGTCTAGATTCCTGTTCTGCCACTTACCAATTTTTCAACTTCAAGCTAATTATTTAGCCACAGCACATTTTGGATTCCTTAATCTAAAAAATAGGGCAATCATATTTACCTCCCTGAGTATTTACATGACTGAGGAAGAGTACATAAAAGCCTAGCACACAGTAGGTTTTATTCTTTCCCTACTCAAAAGCCTCCCGTATAGTTAATATTCTTCCTATTGGAAGAAAATCTTAGGAAAGACTAAATTACTTTTAAATTGTTCCCTTTATACTCTTTAAATTTTTCAGAATATCTTCCTAGTCTGAGCTCTAAATGGCAGAACCTGTGATAAAGCTACTATGATGGACAATAGGACCAATAAAAAAAGTGGGGGGGCAACAGAAATATTTTATGCAAAAAATTATACATGAGCTTATTCAATGTCTGCATAATCTCATAAGAAACTGTTAGTTCTTTCATAAAAAGAGCCTGATGAATGTTGTTAGAATTTCATTTTAGCCTTGCAAACTTAGCAAAATACATTATAATCTATGTATTTTTTATAATTAAGGATGCTACTGCTACTTTCTTCCATAATTGGTGCATTTATTGAGAAATTCCCCACTGTTTGACTGATGTGCTTCATCCTCTGTACTTTTTCCCTGCTGTGTCCCCACAGTTATGATGCTCGAAATTTATAAGGTTTAGATTTTTCTTCCTGTTGTTTTACATTGCTGTTTGCTGTTTATTCATAGGATAAGGGAGAAGAAGGTTATATGTTTTATTGAGCTTTTATATAAATGATTAGCAAAAGTGCTCTCAGAATGACTACTTAGTTTTAGGTACCACCTATGGACTCCAGCAAGGCACATGCCATACTGCCTAATGCCACAAATAAGTCTCATTTATGCCAAGTGTTGACTATATGAACTAGTTGAGGGGGTGTTTCAGCTTCCTTGAAGACAGTTCAAGGTTAATAAGAGTTATTTTTAAGTTATATGACAGTCTGTAGGTAGTAACCATTAAGAACATTGGATTCGATTATGAGGATGCTTGTGAGAATCATGGATTTGACATATGCTTGGGAGATTACTTTTTTAAATTACTGCCATGATGCAGTGAAAATGAAGATTTGACCAGGTTGGACTGCAACTGTCACAGCCATTACATGGTACATGGTGTGCCTTAGGAAAGTGAGGTGTTATGCAAACAGTTGTCATGGATTTATTTTCTCTTCAATGCCTGGTGAGAAAATGTACTGCTCAGCTAAAGAACTGTAGTGGGAATAATGATCATCCAAGAAGTCTTCAAACTGAGCTACAGGTATTTAATTTAAAAGCACATGGACTGTTTGGAATGTTAATATTTCCTTCCRAACAGAAATATCATTAAAGCATAGTGATGTTAGAAATTTAGGGATTTTAAAAGCATCCTTTTTCTTTAGAACTTGGCTGAAAATTTTCACTGAATATTGGTCTGGAACATCAAGTCCTTTTACAACTCTCTGAATAGACAGCTTATTACCATTCTACCTGAGGGCAGGCAAGAAGAAAAAAGCCCACAACCTGCTTTGTTAGATCTGATGAGAAACCTCCCGACTATCCATGTTCACTTTCCAATATATGATGACATTTCTGGATGGCTGACCTATCTCAGGTTGCTGTTGTTGCTTGGTTTCTTGGAAGGTGTCATTTTCCTTTTCTCACTTATTGGATTTTTTACATAGGTTTTAATTATAAATTGGGAGCGTAGATAAAAGTAGCATAATCTGGAGCAGGAGCCTTACTTTTATAACAGTGAAAATAAGGTTTCTATATTTTGTTTTCAATCATTCTAATTTCCTTTTGCAGCCCTTCTTCTACCCTGTTACCTTAGGCAATTGGGATGTCCAAAAGTCATGTTTGATTTATTTACATTTTAACATTACTGGGGCTAGAAGGACCCAGCACACCTACCTGAAGTTCTACACTTTACAAATTATGAGTAAGACACCAAGAGAAGGGAAATGACTCACACAGGCTGCTGCATCTGCCTAGAGGCAGGTCTACATAGAGAATCCAAGTGTCTCCTTAGAGAGCTCCTTTTTCTCTATATAAAATGCCCTTGTTCTGTTCCCAACTTGTATAGTGACATTTGAGCAGATCCTATCAACATGCCCTTCATGTGGACTTCCCTGACTTGCTGGTTGATGACTTCAAGTGTTTGACAGTGCACCTGACAATGTAATTTATCCTGTGACTGCACAGATGACATCTTGTGAATACTGCTTGATGCCTCCACAGAATCATCCCTGAAAGGATTGTGTCTGTCTGTGGATCAACACTGACACAGTCTTCCTTTGAAGTGTACCTGAAAATGTCATTCTCACTGTTAAAGACAAACGACAGATATCATAATAGAGTTCTAGTTGCTAATTATATAACATCAGTGTGATCCTGTTTTCTCTCACCACTGTGATGTTTGTCCATGTGCTGATCTGTCTGTCCTGTTTTGCTATTCTAGGTTTGTGTGCTGGAGAGACAAATATTCGACTTTCTTGGATATCAGTGGGCACCTATCCTGGCAAATTTTGTACATATTATTATTGTCATCCTTGGTTTATTTGGAACTATTCAATATAGACCTCGCTACATAACAGGAGTAAGTACCCTTACTGCCTTCTTATAACTTATTGAAATAGAGAAAGATGTGAAAACTATAGATATCTTGATAAATGATGTGTATACCTTCTCTGAAAAATATGTACCTCTTGTCTTGAGTATTGTGTGTTTATTTACATAGTCTCAGACTACATCAACAGTAATTGAAAATGCAATTTTAAAGCACTCGGTAGTGAATGCGGACAGATTGCATTTTCATTAACTCTATTTTCAGCAAAGATTCTACTGTATCTGCAATAAGAAGTGTAACCCTTTATTTTCAAATTATAAATTCATACCCTCTGAATTGACAGATTTTAATGGGAATTTTTCTTTTTTAAAATAATCCCATCCTATAAATTGAATGAAGATAGTTTAAAATCAACACATAAAAAATACTCTATCGATGTGATAACATCAATACACATAATAGTTAATATTTGAAATGCTTGAAAGCCAGAATATTCTGGATCATTGTCTCTGTGTTCTCTGTAGTTCTCTTTTGGACTCAGCAGAAGTCTTTTACATTCTCACTCAAGTTAAACTCACTTAACATGAAAGTGAAATTCAACTGGGTTGCAGTTTCCATGGGAACTATAACTTTGTTGTTTGCTTTATTTTTTATTCTTTATATATTTGACTCAGATCTCAGCAATTGCTCTTCATTAATATAGAGTTTCTTTTTTTCTAAGTTTCAACATTTTTCTACTTCTTCTGTTTTTGACAAAGAAAAATTCTGTAGGTATTCATTTTAAATCATACAGCAAGTTTGTGGTAAAAAATATATATATATATATACAGCTGAAGTTCTGCCTTATTCAACACAAACCAGCAGGTTTTCTCAGGTTTCATGAAGCCTGCTTCTCATAAAACTTGCCCTCCTATGACCTRTTCTCACTGTCATCCGGAATGCAGATGAAGTTCACTAGTACTGAGACAAACAGTAAAACCAAGGGTTGCACTGTTGCACTCCTTAAAAATGAGAAATCCATGGTCCTCCCTTCTAGGTGCATGCCCAGAGATGAGGGTAAGTCACCTGGGAGGCCAGGTTGCCATCTAAATCTTGTAGAAAGTTAACAAGTCCTATTGCCTTGGAAAATCTTTCAGTACATAAGCTGATAGTCTTGTCCATTTCTTTCTTTTCTTTTTCGTACCAGGGATTAAACTCAGGGCACTAAACCACCAAGTCACTCTCCAACACTTTTTTATATTATATTTAGAGACAGGGTCTCACTGTGTTGCTTAGAGTCTCAATAAATTGCTGAGGCTGGCTTTGATTCCACAATCCTTCTGTCTTAGCTTCCCCAAGCTGCTGGGATTAAAAGTGTGCACCACTCTACTTGGCCCATTTTCTTGTATGAATTGCAGTTTGATCCAGGTTAGGAAGGACAGCATGTTAGTAGGGAGTAGGTCAGGTGAAGTCATAATACCTGAGTTGAAATTTTGGATCTACCAAAGTCTGTGTGGCTTTGGACAATTTCATTTCATCAATCTTTAATATTCTGATCTTTGAAATGAAAGTAATAACTATAGTGTCTCGTTGTGCTTTAATTAGTTGATGAATTGATGTAGTAGCCATTAATGAAAAATTCCTTAACCTACCTTTCCTCTTTCATCAGACTTTGTGACTCCTTCATGAATTTAGTCTTACAAATAATGTTGTTCTTAGTATCACTATATTTATTTCTGATGAAGTGCTTGGAATAAAAATCTAGATGCAGGCCCAAAAGTTTTAACAGCTTAAAAACTCAGAGATCAGTTTTGAGGAATAAGTAGAATGTTCTATGCAATATTCTTATAAGAATGCTTGGTATTTAAAAGGTGTTCAATAAATATTAGGTATAATAYTTTTCTTATTACTATTTGAAAATAATACCAAAATGTATAACATAGCAAAAAGCTAGAAGGAAATTTAAAACAGATCAAAGTCTTTCAGATATTGGTTGAATTTTTTCTGTCCTTTTATTACTAGAACATACAACTTTTTAAAAAATTGTAGGATTTCTATGTTTCAAAGTGTAATCTCTTTCCTTTAGATAAAAGATAAAATTTGTTCTAGTTGTGTTTATTAGACACAATTTGAAATCCTCCTGGGGTTCTATAGGAAGGATGTGTCTTCAGGCTACACCCATGATTTGATCTTTTCTTATGGAAAGCACTCTAAGCTTGCTTTATTTATTTATTTATTTATTTATTTATTTATTTATTTTGAGACAGTGTTTAACTTTGGGAATCTTTTGCTAGCTGGAGATGCTGTAAATGCAAAACTTCTATATTCCAATTAAGCAAATTGGAAATATAACCTATACATTTTTCTTGAAAAGCCATTCTTTCTTTATCTTATCTCTCTCTTACAATATTATGTTATATGTGGCTGAAAGTTGACAAGTAGCAGTATCAACTGCTAGATATATCATCTGTATTTCCAATTATTTCAGACCATCACCAAGATAATCATTCTAATTATCACAAGCGGTCTACCCTCCATCCATGGAAAATCATCTCCTCACTATTCTTTCTATCTACACTAACATTTGGCCTCTACCTGACAGCTTTTCTCAAAACTAATACTGTATCTTTTGGGTTTGTGTTACAATGCACTCAGTTTCTTGTAACGATTTCTATTCTAGTTATCTATTTCTATGTAACCTTCATGATTGAAGGCCAAAAGTGGATTTGGGAAAATAATAAATTTGTCATAAAAMATGGTATTAAGAATTTCAGTTTGTCTAGAGATGACAAAAGAACTTACAGTTAAAAGAATATTAAATGGAATCATAAATGATAGATATTCTACTCAGTGAAGGATCTGGTTGTAGAAGAAAAATCTGTGATTGGGCCATGTGGTAGCTGAAGATAATGTATTGCTGCAGTCAAGAAATTTCTGCAGGCTTTCTATGCATTGGAGACTTAGATATGAACAATGAAATATATTTCACTCTCTTCTGAAATATAGGCTTTCATTATTTGTATATTTGACATTTTATATTTTTGGAAAAGAATTCATGACTAAAAGTTTTTATTAACATTTTGTATATTTCCTTCAAGTATATATACAAATGAAACATCTGATAATGATAAATGTTCTGATATGAATAATCATTTTAGTTTAATATTATATGACACAAATTTGAAATGAATATGACTATTCCAGTGTTTGTTTAGCCTTGTACTTTAATGTTGTAAATTATGCTATTTCCATTTTTTCTTTTATGAATTTCTTATAATCATCACAAAAATGTTCTTCTCTTCACTTGTTTTTCTGTATGAGAAGTCTGTAGGCATAAAAATAATATGAACAATTTTATGTTCTTATTACATAATTGACAACCCCCTATCCAAAATTATTGTACTGAAGTATTCTCCCATGATTATGCTGCATTCTTGCTAACCCAGAATACTATCTATTCTCAAATTTGATAGAGGAAAGAATTATCCCCTTTGTTTGGAGTTGTATTTCTTATCTTTAGAAAGTTGGAATTTTTCATATATTTATTGCTATTTTAGTTTATTTTTTAAGAGATTGTTTTGGATGTACTTCTTTCTTCCTCTATACTCTTACTGTATATATTAATGATTGATGTGCATATGTGTATAATTACATAAAATATGTAACATAGAGTGTATATTACATATTTAGAATGAAATGGAAATATTATCCCTTTAAAGATTATAAGGTTTTATTTTGATATTTATTATTATCATCTAATTAAAATTAAATCCTTTTTCTCTTGATTATATTTTCTGTTACTTTTTTCCTTGGAGGGGATACCGGGGATTGAACCTAGGGGCACTCAACCGCTGAGCCACATCCCCAGTCCCCCTTTTTTTATTTAGAGACAGGGTATCACAGAATTGCTTAGCACCTCAGTGTTGCTGAGGCTTGCGTTGAATTCACAACCCTCCTGCCTCAGCCTATAAGCCACTGGAATTAGAGATGTGCACCACCGCATCTGGCCTATTTTCTCTTACTTTTGAAGATGATTAAAATCAAAAACTATTTTGTAAAAAGTAGGCTTTTTACTAAAACAAAAGATAGATGTCCAGAAAAAAATATAAGAACAAAGTACTTCTTTCAAATTTTGCTTTTTGTAAAAAGTTTCAAATTATTGATGGAAATTTTTGTTCTGTTTAATGACTCCCCCCTCAAAAAATGTGGATATTCTCTGAAATACTGAGTACAGTAGTAACAATAAGCAGAGTATTGGTAATGACTTGTTTCCTCTACTAATTTTCCTTTTGATAGAAGAAAAGAAGAAAATTTTAAAACAGCTCATTGTTATAAGGATTAGGTATCCTTTGAGGGCCTCTGGCAATTTGAGGAGTATAATATGTTTGAGGGAAGCAAAACGGGTGATTTCAGTTCCAAGTAATGAAAATCTGAAGCCTGAACCCACAGAGAGAATCTGTAATGTCTAATTCTTGACAAAGTCAAGTCCCAAAATTAACTTGGGTGAAATAATTCATACCCACACACACACACACACTCACATACACACACACACACACACACACACACACTCGCATATATCTATTCAAACACATATACATATATTTATGTGTGTGTATATACATGTGTATATATATATGTGTATATAAATATTATATGTATGTATATATAATGACTTTATTGAAAGCATTATTTTGTGTTATAAATATAATTTTCTAATGTATCTTTATTGAACTAAAGACACTGACAAGGAGAATGTGATTTGGTATATCCAGTGCTTATTAATTAATTACAAAATATGTTAATTTGTTGTAATGCTTTAAATTGTCAAAAATAACCCGAGGAAGATGTAAGTTCCTCTGCCAAAGGCACAACAACTTTCTTTGTAATAATGCCAAAGGGAATGTTGCTGTAGCACTCAAAAGATTCCTTCTCTCCTTCCTTCTAGATAATCTCATTCCCCACACTGGAAATGAATTCAATAATAACTGAAAGTCCATTATTCAAATTTCAGAAAATTAGCGAAGAGTATAGTATAGTAGAATCACATT